CTGTCATGTTCATAGTGCTTCTTCTGACGACGAGACCATGTTTTCTCAAGACCATAAACCCAAGAGGATCTACCAACTTTGGCCGGGGAATAATGTAAGCCCTAATGAGACTTTTGACAAACAAAAAAAGAAATGTTTTTGTAATGTCTCTGAATGAGATTTGAGCAATTGGAATCTGAGATTGCTGAATTAAGCCTAAAATTAATCGGAATCGATTACTAAATCTGATGATGGTTTTATGTTTACCGGACTCGGATCGGATGATTACTTAAAATCTTGAGAACATGAGCTTTGAAACATTTTCCTTTGGTTTTTGGTCTTTATAGCTCTTGAAAATAGTCAAGAATGCTATCTACTGCCTCAAAACACATTTGACATAAGTAAATTGAAGTGTTTCATTGTTTTTGGTTTGAAATGTTTTGAAGCAACCTTGACTTGTTCTGTTTCTTGGTTTCATGTTTAGAAATTCTATTGCGGAGGGAGACTAGTCTTTGGTCCAGATGCATCTTCGCTACTTCTAACTATAGCTATGATCGCTTGTCCCGCTCTCACTTTCTGCATACGAATGGCGTTTTTGATCGGAAGACGCTTTCCTTTGTTCCATTTTCTTATATTGATGGGTGCACTTTTGCTCACTGTCTTGGTAAAGAACCATAACTTTTTTCTTTCTTTGTGACCTATCTTCGCCCTTTGTGATACTTTCTTTCTTTGTAGGATTTCACATTTCTCTTCTTAACGTCATCGAGAGACCCCGGGATTATCCCAAGGAACAAAGAAGCGCCTGAATCAGAAGGGCTTGATATGATCACTCAATCCTCAGAGTGGGTAAACAACAAACTTGGTAATACAAAGATACCTCGGACCAAGGATATATTGGTGAATGGCTATACTGTCAAAGTCAAATTCTGTGATACTTGTTTGCTTTATCGTCCTCCTCGCTCCTCTCACTGTTCGATATGTAACAACTGTGTCCAAAGATTTGATCATCACTGTCCATGGGTTGGTCAATGCATTGCTTTAGTAAGTCTTCCAAAAAAACCCTTCAATCTCTTGAAACAAAATGTGTGAGTAGGATCTGTGATCTAACAAATGGCGGTCTTTTTGCAGCGAAACTATCCATACTTCATCTGTTTCATATCAACTTCAACACTCCTCTGCTTGTATGTCTTTGTCTTCTCTTGGGTTAGTATGCTTGAGGTACACGGCAAGATGTTGTTAATGGTGGTCACAGACGACTTAATCTTTATTGTTCTTATCCTCTACTGCTTCGTCATTGTCTGGTTTGTTGGTGGACTCACTGTTTTCCATCTCTACCTCATCTGCACCAATCAGGCAAGAAGATCCTTAATATATATGGATGCTGCATTTTCCTTGTTTGGATCATTGTATGTTCTGATTCTTTTGGTTCTGAATAAATGGATTTTGCAGACAACTTATGAGAATTTCCGGTATCGATACGACAAGAAAGAAAACCCTTACGCAAGAGGCTTTTTCAAGAACCTATATGAGTTGTTCTTTGCAAGAATTCCACCTCCCATGATAAACTTCAGAGACTTGGCTCCAGAGGAACCTGATGTTGAGGTTGGATCCATTGCATCTGAGCTAGACCGAACCTTTGGACCTCGAGGAGATAAATATGATATGGAAATGGAAATCGACGGTTGCAAAACAAGTAAAGGCGGTTTGCACCTCCAGACAATGGAGTATG